GTTCAAAAAACCAATTCCATAGAAACGAAATACCACCTCCAGCACTCCATTATTCTTCAACGTGAATAAGAGAAATCAAGTGGTACACTGATTATTTTTTGAGTTGTCTCATGCAATTCTTATTGGTTGGCCCCTTGGATTGGTTATCAATTAATTGACCCTCTTGAGTCTCTCTATGGTATAACGTCATAAGTCTTTTCTGATGATTGACCGCACTGGTTTCTTCTATGTCAAAAGACGTAAAGAATATCTTTTTCTTTTGTTAGCCTCATGCGGCCTAAATAAAAAGTGACCGATTTTGTTGCATGAAAATTGATTCCATTGGAACAAGTAGCCTCAACAAGTACCTTATGATCCTTCCACGTGAAGATACATAACCCCTATTGCTCCGTGAGCCGACGTCCACCATGAGAGGTAGAAAGCACATGATCTCTCTTTGCCTTTCTTGAAATACACGTTCGCGAGATAATCACCAACTTGTGTTGTTCACACAATAATAGGTTTGTACATTATTCTTGCATTCTCTACTGTTGCGCAGTTCCCATTGCAGTGACTAGCCTGAGCACTCAAATAAACTTGATTATCGTTTCCCATAGACAACATCAATTGTAACAGCATCAATTGTAAGGGGGAAAATCCGCACCTATCAAAATAAAGAGATTCGCTTTGGGATGAGTACTCGAGATCGCCTTTAGCCTGCAAAAGAAACAAACTGTCATAGATCGATGGGGTACCAACCGGAAGCACTCCGATACTTAAATCAGTAATGACTTGAAAAAGTGTATTCAATTTGCTAGACAAAGAGTGCGTACCTTAGACTTTAAGCTTTACTAATATTTATTGGGAGCATGTCCCCGATCATTCAGGACTACCATTCTCCTTAGAATATGGTGGCACACCTAAATTTCAATCTTTCATTCCTTAATTCATGTTTGACCCTTATAGGGTGTTCTTTCTCATTGGTTGATTTAGGTCACATGTTAATTATGTGTTCCTATGATTTAGGCGATTTCCTTATTGGTCGCCTAACACCATCTCTGACTTTTCGGGTATTTGTTTAGTCGGATCTTATCCTCAGGTCGACCGGACTAAATTTAGGTCGGCCGGGATAGCCTAGCTATTTGCTCGGTCAGACCAATTTTAGCTCGACCGAGATAGCCTATCTATCTACTCAGTCGGATCTTGCCCTTTGCTCGGTCGGACCAACTTTAGCTCGGCCCGAATAGCCTAACTACTTACTCGGTCATAGTAGAGTCATTACAAATAACTCTTTTCGGCACGTGCAACCTGCCACATGTCCAATATATATATATATATATATATATGTATATAAAACCATCAAATTAGGTTGGAGGTAACTTGGAAAGCGTTCCCTCCCATTTTTTTCTTAGAATTTTCAATTATTTAATTATCACACATGACTTTAAAAAAATTGTATTATCATACATGTCTCATATAACCCACCTCTCTACTCCACTACTTAATTACCACTCATTTAAAGCTTTTTTAAAAAATAGCCACTAATTTAAAATTTTAAAAAAATATTGTTTTTCCACCCTAACTTTCCATAATTATTTTATCACCTTAATTTTTCACAATTTTCTATCTAACTTTTCAAATAGGATGATGACGACTGAAAAAAAAAAGAAAGGAAAGGGAAGGATGACGAAAAGGGAATGAGGTGTTCAAATCGCACAGGCCGCCTCTAGTGTATATATATATATGTGAAAGTCCTATGAGGTATATAAAGAGCCTTTCATAATTTTGAAGAGGTAAATGGTGTGCACCCTTTACCACATTTAGAGTGGTTGAATCCTGAATTTTAAACCATAATATATTGTACACACGCATACACACAAAAACACAAATTGGAATTGAATTTAGATTGAAGGTGGTGGTGATGTAACGCAACGGAGCAAAGAGGCGCAAAAAACACTACGATTCTAAGTGTATAGATCAAATGCTGTGAATCCATAGAGAGAGAATATCTTTGAAAAATGTGTATTATTCAATCAACTGAATAGAATCGTAGCACATAAGACAATTTATAGGAACTCCAAAATCCAAAAGTTTAAAAAAAAAGAAAACAAATTCCTAACTTTAAGAAAGTTACCTAAAATAATAAAACACATGTCTAATGAATTAGAAAAGTAGACATGGTTGAGGCCGTAAATAACTCTACAATATTCCTAATTAACTCTTAATCTAAACAAATAATAAAAATAAAAATAATAAAAATAATTGTTGATCATAATAGCAACAAGAGGACTTGTGGTGTTGCTTAAGTGTGAGTTCGTGGTGGAGGTCGTAGTGGTTTAGGGGAAGAGAGGAATTTAAGTTGCAGAGGAGAGGTTTGAGTTTTTTTTTTCTAATATTTTTGTTAAATTTTATTTTTTGGGGTGTAAAAAAATAAATTTTAAAATTTGGTATAAAGAGTTGAGGAATTTTGAGAAGTCATTTCACTTTAGTAGTAATAGTCAACTAATTAGATGCACTTAGATCTAAGGGGGTAAAGTTCCTCAAAGCGGCATCCTTAGGTGGTGAGTTGGAGTCTCCCTCCTCTACAACTGTAGCATTGTTAAAAAAAAAATAATAATCATAATTAGATGGAGTTGCTTGAAAGTCGACTTGAAAATCTGAAGAGGTTTTTTACAATTTCTAAAATCATGGGGTGAAGTGTAATAAATGCAAATCTCAAGGGTAATTTGTGTGATTTTCACTTCTTTTAAAGATATCTAGCTTCTAAAAAATTGTTTCTTCCCGAGAGTTATTGCTATAGATGGGAAAGAGAAGACGGTCCTGAAGTAATGTGGCATGTAACTACTGAAAATTGAGAAATATCAAAGGAAAGATTATGGCAATGGGCATATAAGGGGGATAGATAATAATAAATCCTTTGCAAGCGATTAGAAGTCATTTTTCCCTCTTGTCATATCTAGTTACACCCATGACCCATGGTAGATTTCTCGTCGGTGAAATGCAATAAGTAAGTGAAATAAGGCATTTCGTGGTTGTTGAACATATACTAGTTTTTTTTCTGATTTCTATGATGCATTTATCAATTTCTGATTTATCTTTGCATGATTTGTTCACTAAATTCCTGCTAATATGTTTTTAAATGCAGAGATGTATCCTACAATGAACTATCTGGAAATTTGCCTTCTTGGGTAACACCAAATTCGCAAGTGTATGTCTATGAAATCATGATGCATGATTGTTTATAATCTTCATTGTGATCGCTTAGCAGATTGCTCTGAAGGACTAGGCCTTGTATTAGTTGTATAAACTTTCATTTCTTTTCTTACACCTTATTGATGTGCAGGGCTATAATATGATTAGTATTCATCAAATGTTACTGTTGATTAAACAAAATTATTGCCTGTAATGTTCACCTAGGATCAACCTATAAGGAAGAGAAATATGTCTATTGGGATTGAAATAGAATTCTTGTATAGTGTAACATTACCACACCTGTATGTGTTGCTATGGCAATGTGATAATAACCTAGCAAGGAGCAAAGCTTGTAGTTTTGCACTTTCTCATTGATCATGTAAGAATCCCAGTTCATTTGTTTCTGAGATCCCATGCTAACTATCCTTATACAACCTGAAAAGTGAAAACCAAACTCATGCCAGCACAATGGTTCATGGGTGTACTCTTTCCTGTTTAAGCATACGGAAGTTAAAAATGGCAGATATTGCTTAAGCTGTAGGATTCTGATCAATGCAATAAAATAAATAATAATAGCTAGTTATTTATTCTAAAATAGCTCCTCTTTCCTTAAAAAATAATAATTCTGAGTTTGCTTTCTTAATTTTCATCTTTGGAAATATTACCATTGACGTTTTTGAATTATACTACAGGAATTTAGTGGCCAACAACTTCACATTGGATAGCACAGACAGAAAGTGAGTCATTTTGTTTTCATTTCTTTTTCCATATAGCCATTCTTGGGAGATAGCATGGGTGCTAGGCAAAGTGACCACATTTCTCTGACTGCAGCTCAATGCATTCATTTTTGAAATTTACATTGTAAATAAAGAAATTTAATGCTAATTCTTTGAGCTTCCAGTGTTTTGCCAGGATTATATTGTCTGCAGAGAGACTTTCCTTGCAACTGGGGTAGTCCACGTTGTAAGTCACTTTGCATTGTAGTAGTTTCTGTCTTTATTTGGCTTCTTGCACAATTTCGTTTTGCCACTACATTTTACCAAATTTCTTAGCAAATTCAAATATTTGGTTGGGCAGTGCTAAACGTAGAGTAATGAGGGCTGCTTCTCTATTTTATCTTTATTACTTGTTTGTTATTTTATCTCTGCAACTTAAAGTTGCATAACATTATCTGAGACTGAGAGTATATATATGTACATGTCTGTATGTATATTGTCTGGGTAGACTGGAACCTGCTTTGTGAATGCAAGATGCATGAAGAAATTGATAGGGTCAATGGGCAGGTTTTTGCCCATGCATCCCTTTACATTTAGTTTTTAAAAGTATTGGAGTTTGTCCCTCTCCTTCTTGTAGTTGCCTTCCACTTCCCCACTACATAAATTCTGGCTTTACCCCTCTTGGCTACATGCATATTCATTCAACCAATACATTTTATGGATCCCAAAATTAACTTCTTGCGGGATATTAAATTGAAAAGTGCCAATACTTTCCCTCTAATTAAAGTTCAGAAGGGGAAACATAATCAAGAGGTTTAGGCAAATACCTACATAAGTAAAATTAAAAGAATTTTTATTTGTATGCACCAAATCTAGTACTTGCCATCTCAAGCCTTATTAAAATGAAATGAAGCCTTGTTTTCAGAGACAGAGAGAAAAGTGTCTGCTATTTTTCTGTTATTCTTTGGGATTGTTAGATGTTCATCACCTGAGAAGCTTTGAGATCTTCCTTCATGTCCAGCATCTTAATGGAAAGGTTGTGGTTTTCTTATTGAAAAGTATTAGTTGAAAACTCAACCATCATAGTCATATCTTCAATACATATGATGATAAATGACTGCTGGTTTTATATTTATGTTCAAAGATGCCAACTTTTCAATTAACTGCGGTGGTCCAGCGAGGAGATCTGCTGAGGGAATATTGTACGAGGCTGAAAATTCTACTTCCCTTGGCCCGGCATCGTATTATATGGTTAGTACAGAAAAATGGGCAGTCAGCAATGTGGGGATTTTTTCCGAGAAAAGTGATCCAGTATATACCAGGAACACCTTGGCACAAATTAGGAGCACCAGCACTCCAGAGCTTTTCCAGACTTCAAGGATGTCTCCGGCTTCACTTAGATACTATGGCTTAGGACTACAAAATGGAGATTACAATGTAAGTCTGCTATTTGCGGAGACTATTTTTAGTGATAGAAGCACACGTACATGGGAGAGTTTTGGGAGGCGCGTTTTTGATATTTACATTCAGGTAATTATGCCACAAAACTCAACATTTAATGATGTTGGTCTGAAGCCTGCTCTTTCCCCTTGCATTTACTTCTAGTATTGGAGTTAAACGAAATTATGCTGATACTAAGACAATTGTTTGAATTTCCGCGTGACTGGTTCTTCAGGGGACTCGCCAACTGAAGGACTTTGATATATCAAAGGAGGCAGGTGGGGTTGAAACAGCAGTCCAGAAGAATTTCAATGCTACTGTAACCCAGAATTATCTTGAAATTCATCTATTTTGGGCTGGGAAGGGTACATGTTGCATTCCTGTGCAAGGCGATTATGGACCATTGATTTCAGCCCTCAGTGTTGCTTCAAGTAATAAACCTAAGTAAAATGATTATTACACATATATTATATAGATAAATATACATGAATTTCTTTTCCCTCTTTCAAATACAAGATGTTTAGATGCCCTTCTCTACTGCTATAGACCAGCGATAAGTGATTAATCTGTTTTGCTCAGAGTTTACACCTACTGTTAGTGGACTACCTCCAACAACTTTGCTACCTCCAACAACTCAATCAAAGAAAAACAGGACTGGGTTGATTGTTGGTGTTGCGGTTCCTGTTGGAGTTATCAGCATAATATTGTTACTTTCTATTTTATACTGGAAAAAGAAAGGGTCACATGTTGAGGACGAGGAAGGTAATGCACATATTAACACTAAAACTTGTACTGCTTCTGTTATTACTGTTCTTTTTTATTATTTATATGAACACATACAAGGGGATACATGCATATTTTAATCATACTTTACCCAACATCATACTGCAATCGTAAGAGTCCAAGAAGACCAATAAGCCCAAGTTCAACAAGCGTACTCTTGTGTATTGCAAGATGATGGTGATGATAATAACAAAACTTATACGACAACAACAATAACACAATGAAAATAATAATAACAACAACAATTGAACCTGAGAAAATATATTAGCGTCAATGAACTCAGTTCCCCATTCACAACTACTAAATTTGGGTAATGATTGGTGTTTTGAAATGCTGGATACTAGGTAGTGTAAGAGAACTTGTAAATGTATCATGTTTGAAGCCCTAATATCTTGTACTCGAGTGTATTTAAGCACTTATTGTAATTAATAAGATAATAAGCATGACTGACCTCATTTCTTCTGATGGCACTTAGAAGAATTAGATTGAGTATGCCTCAGTTTTTTTTAATGCTATTACCTTGATGATAGGTAATTTATGGAACTGAAAACTGGTAGTATGCAAGGTATTCTCCCAAGTTAGACTATGTACCCGAGAATGACCTCATTTCTTCTGATGGCACTTACAAGAATTAGATCAAGTATACCTCACAGTTGTTTTTCATGCTATTACCTTTATGATCTTATTATGTTTTTGTTGCATGATTCCGCAGACCTTCTTGGAATAGGCCCTCGACCAAGCACTTACACTTATGCTGAGTTGAGAACTGCAACAGGAGATTTCAGTCCTTCAAACAAGTTGGGAGAGGGTGGATTTGGACCTGTTTATAAGGTAATCTATGCTTTGCATCAAAGTTAGATGATGCATGATTCTTGCTCAACAACTTGATGGGAAGATTGGGTATTTTTTTAATTCTCCCATTTTTATGGACTAAAAAGAGGATTTTTTTAGTGTTAACTGAATTTTATTATTTTATAGGGAACATTAAATGATGGGAGGATAGTGGCTGTGAAGCAACTTTCAGTAGGATCACATCAAGGGAAAAGTCAGTTTATAACTGAAATTGCTACCATTTCTGCTGTACAACATCGGAACCTTGTTAAGCTGTATGGATGGTGCATTGAAGGAAATAGAAGGCTTTTGGTTTATGAATTCCTCGAGCACAACAGCCTCGACCAGGCACTTTTTGGTATGGAGAACTTAAATTTCCTTTTTATGGTTTACTTCGTTCATATGTGGACTGATGAGACCAATAATTGTAAAAATTCAATTTCTTTGGCTATAATCAACTTTTGTCTTTAAAAATGAAATAAAGCGAACAAGGGCGATGGTGTTATCCTGATAATTTTTATGTGGTTTTTATTTCAGGTAATTTAACAAAATTTTTTGTTTTTGTTTTTGTGGTAGACATGTCTGTCATTAATCCTATATTTGTATTTATGTAATCCTTCAAAAATCCTTGAAGTGTTATGTTTCCTTTTTTTGGTTCTCGTCTATCTGCCTTTTCCTTGTTAAATCTCTGAATAATTCTTGCAGGGAATGATAATTTGCATCTTGACTGGCCAACACGCTTCAGTATATGCTTAGGAACAGCAAGAGGGCTAGCTTATCTCCATGAAGAATCAAGGCCTAGAATTGTACACCGAGATGTCAAAGCTAGCAATATTCTGCTTGATTCAGAGCTCTCCCCTAAAATATCAGATTTTGGATTGGCCAAGTTGTATGATGACAAGAAAACCCATATCAGTACCCGCATTGCAGGGACTATGTAAGCTCATTGGATCATCCTTTTTTTCATTTAAGCATTACTCTTCTTACGTTGGTTGTTTCATATATTCTGTGTTATGGTGTTACTGTAAACACAAATACATACACATATGCATAAGTACAAAAGAGGTTTATTTAGTCGAGTAAGTTTACACTTATCATCAATAGTTGTCATCACCCCATGTTAGTTGGACATGATAGATATTTGATTGCATTGTATTTTCTTTCTATTGACATTTATGAAACACAAACGATTTCAAAGTTTCAGTATGGGTGTCAATTGCCACATCATTATATTTGGATTCCCCAAACCTGCATAAAGCTTGCTCGCTAATCCGCCAAACCACCAAACCTGTAGTTGACCTCAACTAAGCCTCTTTCACTTGATTCTACAGTGGCTATCTAGCACCAGAGTATGCTTTTCGAGGGCATCTGACGGAAAAGGCAGATGTGTTTGGATTTGGGGTTGTTTGTCTAGAGATCCTCAGTGGGAGACCCAACTCTGATCATAGCTTGGACAGCAAAAGAAAATATCTTCTTGAATGGGTATGGCAAGAGAATTATTATTTACTTACTAGAAAAGATTAAATGGAAGGAGTTTTCCATGGATACCATGGTTAAAGAGGCAATTTCTTTCCTATACACTTACCTAAATGATTTTTTCAGGCTTGGAATCTACACGAAAACAACCAAAGTCTGGATCTTGTGGATCCAACTCTGGAAGTGTTTGACGAAAATGAAGCCATTCGGTTGATAGGAGTGGCCCTTTTGTGTACTCAAGCATCACCAGTGATGAGGGCACCCATGTCCCGTGTCATTGCTATGCTTGCTGGAGACATTGAAGTGAGCACCACTACAACAAAGCCAAGTTATTTGACAGATTGGGATTTCAAAGATATAACCGATAGCTTTTTGGATGGAGAAAGTCCATCATCAGCTCCATCCAATAGTAGTAGCCCCCTACTAGACAATAAGGTCGATAATCCATCCGATCCGAACACTAACGCAGTGCCCTCTCCAATTAATTTGACTGAGACAATGCTGCATGAAATCATTGGAGAAGGAAGGTGAGACATGCTTATCACTACAACAATATTGTGTATTTGTCGATGCTTCATCCACCCGTATGCATAAAGATGGTACAACTTGAACCCTCAAGTTTTCTCATATACATGTAATAACCAATATTTGTTTTACTATCTTCTTGTTCTTCGTGCAATTTTGCTACTCTTGTATATGTTTAGAGTTATCTATACACATTTATGTAATAAGCAATTTTGCCACTCTACACGTTTGCTTTGTCCGTGGGCTCACGATTTTAAAACATGTTTTAGCTGTTACAGAAGGGAAATAAGTTAAATTGAACATCATACAGACTGATAACCAGGCTATAAAAGGACTATTGTCACCCTCTTTTGAAGTGTAACCCTGTGCTTTGTCTGCTGTTTTGTTAGCTTCCTATACAGTGTTATTGACTATTAAACCGGATAAGGATGGGAACCGGATGAAAATTGCCAAACTGGCTGGTTTTTTTGGAGAAAACAGTGAACTGGAAGGTTTTTTTAAAACCAGACGGTTTGAAATCAATAAAACTAAAAAAAATAAAATTGAACAGTTCAATTTTTATTTGGGCTATTTTTTTGATTTTGCCATAAATCTCGCAGAAATAGAAGGCAGCAGCTTCTCTCTCCAGCGACAGGGAGGCAACAAATATGGAAACACTGCTCTGCGCGACAAAGCGACAGGGAGGCAACACAGCGACAGGGAGGCAGCTTCTTCTCTCTCCAGCGACACTACTCTGTGCGATACTCAGGCGAAGGCGACAACTCAGGCGATTACTGCTCTGCGCCACACTCAGGCGGAGGCGACAACTCAGGTGACCTCTCCGACGACGAACAACAGCTAAAGGAGGTGACAACACAGGCGTCCGCTCCAGATCGTTAAGGTAAAATGGCTGTCCTCTCCTCCTTTCTCCTTTCTCCTTTCTCCTTTCTCCAGGAGGTGTCCTTTAATTTTCCTAAAATTAATCTTCAGATCCTGTTGCAAATCTTCCAATAAAACAAAAAGTATTGATTAATGACAAAAAAAATAAAAAACAAAATGGAGTGGGTTTACAATAAAAATGCATCATGGTAGCTAGTTTGTTATGTTACCTCAGAAGTATTAGGTTGATGCATCAGTGAATTATGTGGACTGAGTTGACATAGGTTGATGCAATTGAAATGGTCTATTATTGATGTTAATGTGCTATTATTGTCTGTTTGTGGATTTTATGAATTGAGATTGTGGGATTGTGAATTGGAATTTTTGTTGTCATTGTGGATTTTTTCTTTTACTTAACTTCATTAATTTTATGGCAAATTCTATGCATTTTAGGCACATTTTATATTTTTTGGCTAAATTATTATGTTTTATAATACATACATATAAATTATTATTTTTTATTATATGACCGGACCGACCAGTTGACTCGACGGCTGAATAGCGAACCATTGATTCGGTTCCTTTGCCGGTTCGATGACCAATCCGGTTCTGATAACGTTATTCCTATACATGTGATCAAAATGTATGTCTTTACATATTTGCAACTTAAGTTAAGCTCTTCAATAGTGTTGCATATAGACTCCAATGCACAAAGCATGATGAATAATATTGTATTCATTATCACCCTTGAATCCCCTTCCATTTTTAATTCCTTGGCATCATTCCCTCAGCCAAAATATAAATAGTAGTAGTTACATAATATGCAACACCATTATTTGAAATTTCTATTGTTGAAAACTGATGCCTTAGTCTGTTAGTAATCAATCACAGGTATATTATTTATCTATGTAATAAAATAGAGCGTTCTTGATGACATAAGGGCAGCGCCAACGATACTAGCTAAAATAACTACTCAAAATATATATTTTTATTACATTATCTATTTTAGAGAACAATTACTACTAATTCACTCCAACAACGCTCTCTATTTCAACTAACTATTTCAATTAGCTTTAATTAATTGAACCACAATTCACAAATTTTCACATATCATATTTTTAGTTCAAACCATTTTCTTAGATTTTGTCATTCATTGCTAAACCAGAAAATCAGAAAAATTCCAAAAAAAATTCATAGCCAACCAGAAAAATTCCAAAAAAAATATCATAGAAAATTTCCAGACAACCCAAACAACTTATTCCACACTACCCACACAAAATTCCAAGCAACTCATTCCACACAACCCAAGGAATGGACCATAGCATCTCATTCCACATAACTCAAGCAAAAGTTTTCATAATAAGAAAATTTCATTACCTCTAATTTCTTCTCTCCACCAAATCGGAACAGAGTAAAGACAGAGAGAGAGAACTGAGAGACAGATTCGATGGTTTAGTCGATTTTCAGTGGGAACTGAGACAAATTTCGTTTCGTGGTTTTTTCGGTAGGTTTTTCAGTGGGTTTTTTTGCTGGGATTTCAGTGGTTTTTGGTTGGATTTCTGTGGATTTTTTTGTTGTGGGATTTCAATGAGTTTTTAGTAGATTTTTTGTGGGTTTTTCTATGGTATACATATTTATGTGAGAGAGAGAATTCCATACCTGGGTGGATGATGAAGCTTCTATGATTGATAAAGTTGAAATTTGGGTGCTATGGAGCTTCTGTGCTGTGTAGCTTGTGTGTGTGTGTAGAGAGAGAGAGAAAGAGAGGAGATGAGAGGAGGAAATTGGCGCAAGAAACAACAAAGTGGCTTGCCAGAACTAGCAAGTGAAAAGTGGGTTATGGAAAATAGATAATGGAATAGATAGTTTGTTGGAGTCAAATTTTTAGGAAAAGCTATCTAAAATGGCTAAGAAGGACTCTTCACCGTGTCCTTTGGAGTCGCTCTAAAACACAACCACCACCTATATTATTTGGAGTTATGATCAAACAATTTATCTTATAATTCATATTTTGACAATTGTAAATCTATTCATCTGTGTTTTAGTCATAATAAATATGTTGAAATATATTTTAACCACCCACTTATATTTTAAATTATATTGAAAAAATATTGTACATGCTTGACCGTGCTTTGTATGGATTACCCTAATATGGATAAAAAAATTGAAAGGGTCTTTCAATCACACTTGTAAATTGAAATAATAATATTACTTGAACTTAATTTGTTAACATAATTTATTGATTTAATTCATCACAATTATTGGATGGGAAGCGAGCTCCACCAAATACTGAGTCTCACTGTCAATCTAATGATTATAAATGATTAAGTCAGAAAATAAAGTTTAAATAGTATTGCTAAAAAAAAAAAAAATCTCTCGCTTGCGACGGTCAAACTCATCAACTCAAGCAAGGGCGGATTTGCCAAAAAATTTTGGACTTATATAAAATTTTGAAAATTTCAAAAAATTTCAAATCTTGCCCCTACTGAAATTTTCATAAAGTATAGGGTGAATTAGTGTAATTTTTAAACCATTAAAATAAAATTTTAGCAGCCTCACCCTCACTTTTTACGTCTTACTTATCTTCTTCATTCGAACTTTCGGTGTCTGCCCTTTCTTCACCAACACTCTCTTCTTTCATTTGGTTTATTGGTTACTTCCATTAGTATATTTATTAACAAATCGGCCTACTTTATTGTTGGCTCCTGTCAAGTTCTCACCTATCTCTTCAAATTGCAATGCCGGTCACAAGATACTCTCTAGAGTGCTGACATTAATTTTCAAAAACTAATTTTGAAAATTTTTGAAAATTTTAAAATTATTTAGAATTTGTTCCAATTAAAAAGTTAGAGGCAAATTTATACAGATAAAGATATACTAAAATTGAATTTGATTGTGATCCAATGTGGTTTATATATACATGCCATACACATATATACTAATTAAAGTTGAGTGATTATTTAACGATATCGTATTGAAATTGAAATGTCATTAATAAATTCGTTGGATAGTTAGATCCAATATGGATCAATCGAAATTCTTTCCAAATTTGACTGTAGACAAGCCTTCTAGTTGTTTATTGTGAGGCGCAACGAGTATTGATGATCGTCGTCCAATTGTTTTTTTTCAACATAATGGTTGCCTCTATTATGAAAAATTCCAGGCTCCGCCCTGAACTCAAAGACATCTTGACTTTGGTTTTTTCTTCTTTGAACCTAAACTCCTTCCAGGGAGAATTACATTTTGAACCTATAAACTATGATCATGATTTTGCTTTGGTCAATTAATTGTTGAGTTTGGATTGTTCTCTAAACTATTTGAATTGGTTTCACATTATTCTAAAACAAAGCATCTGTTATGTTTTGGACAGATTGGGATAAAACGCAAAAAAAAATCATACTCCTGGGGCAACTTAAAACATGTGAGAAAATTATAGATAAGAGGGAAGTGTGAGACAAAGGCCATAATTGAGGGGATAAAAGTATATATTTTTATTTTGTATTTCCATTTCCCTTGGAGCTTCAAGGACATTATCACGGTTTTAGCTGTCACTTGAGTGAGATAATTCTTTACCCCAAAAAAAAAAATAAAGTACAAAGATTGAAGACATAAAAAATAACTTTTATTTTTTGTGGTTGTGATCGTTTTAAATTTTACTTTAAACTTAATCTAACAACTAATATTTAACTCTCCAAATTTAATATAGAAAATAGACCCTTAAGGGTATGTTTGGGGTGACGTTTCAAAAAGTGCTTATAGGACTTAAAACTTTTCATAAGTACTTTAAAAAAAAAAATAATGTTTTGAACAATTTATTTTAATTACTTCCAAATAAGTCAGATAATTTTACCATTAGGAGCCATAGTCTATATAAATCGAATATTTCGTGTTTATGAGTTAGAGATCAGTGGGATCTAGCTCTCGGTTGACCTTAGGGTCATGGATATGACAGAGTTTGATTCCTCATTGACTATGATCGGAAGAGGGTCACTACTTATACACTAGAGGGTGTCTATTTTAATTTTCAGGGTAAGAAGCATAATGTTCTACTCCAGGTGGTGTATAACTCTCGTTGGCACATGTAGTTGATAGGTTAGCTTACTAGCCTTATTGTGACGCCCCAAAAATTGGGGGGGTTTTTTGTCTACCAGTTGATCACCCATCAACTTGTAGAATACCCATGAATACCGTGTAATTCGATATCACCCCGTTATACCCCTTTTATTAGAATTCATAATTTAACAAAATTCGGGCAGAGTATTCTTTGTACGGGGAGCTCTACCCAAAACACAACCTGTACAATCATACAATCACATGACTCATACGAGGTCTAATATACAACATTAACCACACTGGGTCCATTTATCCATATTTGCGACGTCCCTAAAAGCGAGGGTCCTATGTTAATGTATGCAGAGTGACATAGGCTAATGTCAGTGTGACATTGGCTTATATCAGTGTGGCATAGGCTAGTATTAGTATGACATTTGCTTGCAGCACTATGACATTGTCGTGTATCACTGTGCCAATGCGACATGTACCACTATGACAATGCGATATGTATGACTGTTACTTATAAACACATCAAATATAGTTAATACAAGTTCAAATTACAATTGTTTTACATACATTACATGCCAAAAACTAACTTATATGTCTAGTTTTGCAAATACATCATTTAAAGCCACATTTTGGCTTTTCTTCAACCATGGGTCCCGATTAAGAGCCGTTCGCCTGCACATATGTCACACTTGAAATGTTGTCCCATAAAGGGTGAGCTATGCTCAATAAGGTATCTCATAAAAAGGCTACTTCCCAACCTAAGTGCATATGAAATATTCACATGCAACATTCAACAAACAACAACCATCCCACAAACAAGAATATGCAATTCATTGTTGAAATTCTACCATGTCATACCATGAAATGAGATGAGACTCACTTATGCACTTTAATCCGAGCTCTCACCGGCTCCCACTATACTATGCGTATGCCATGTGTATAAAACCAGGCGTTCTAAGCCCCGTTATTGATGTTGCACATCTAATGACATTTAAAAAAAAATCTCCGGGTCTTTCTTGAGGTGGGTATTTATGGACTTACACCAAGGGTTACCCAACCCACATGGAATTCATGGATTTACACCAGCGGTTCTGGATACACTCAGACATTTTATGGACTAAATCAAGGGAGTGCATCTCCCAAGTAACTGAGTCTTGTACCCAAGGGATTGTCTAGTCTTTCTTACTAACCTCGACCTAATTTTCAATGCAAACCATGCGACTCAATCGAACCATTGACCCGACTATCTCGAGCCCACGTATCATTAACCTAGAATGATGTTTAATCAAACCATACACACACACACCCACACTCAAGCCTCATGCACAAGAATGCGATGCCTCCGTGCAAATGCAATGAAATGTCTAATTGCAATATCAATATCATATTTATATGTAATGAATGTCATATGAGTTATTTTACCACATTTCAACACATATCATGGATAATTACATCCTAAGCATATAATCTCGACAAATCATCACAATGCCAATATATTACAAGCACATATCAACTTTTACATTTTTAATTGTAAATCACATTATAAGCATATGATTTCAATTTACCACTTCATCCAAGCATGTTATTTCAATTTTATCAAAACAACAACTTCAACCATTCAAGACATTTTATCAAACACCTTCAAGACATCACTCATGTAAATACATAATATGCCCAAAGTTCCACATTTCTTAAGGAATTACATTAAGCAATTTCTACATATCTAATTTAAGATAGAATTTATTCTACTCATTTTCAATAGTCATTTCACCAAATCAACAACAATAGACAATTGTTAAGATACATCTAACAACCTCTACCCATTTTATATTTCAAGCCTAAGTTGGGAATAAATCTAACTTACAAGAAAATCCTACCTCTTGAAGCGTAAAATCAACATAGGAAGCTTCAAGAAATCAACCCAAGCTCTAATTTAAGCTTTTCCAAAATTTTGTTTTTCGAACTTTCGGTGAAAACCTTCGTTTTTGGTATGGTTGTGTAACCCTCATCGAGGAGATCGATTATAATTCTTGGTTAAAGTTGATTCAAGCGACGGAGCGGCGTAGATCATAAAGAGAAGTCTTGAAATCTCTCTTTTTTCTCTCCTTTCCCTCTCTTTTCTTCCAATGCAAAGACCCAGCTGATGAATAGGAGAGAAATTTGTTTTCTCTCCTTATTTATAACCTTTAATTGCTTAGTCCATAATGCGCCACAAGTCCTCCTTTTTCGGGTTAGTTTTTTGTCCTGAAATGATTAAATTTCGCTCTGATCCAAGTGCAAATATTTTTATTTCGACTTGCTTTAAATTATTTTTGAAAATTTGAAATTTTATTAAAACTTTCGTTTTTGGGTCACCCGAGACCCGACCGTCTCCTAAAACATGAAAAATTCGACTATCTCGGAATTCAATGAAATTTGTCTAGATTACTAGATTTCGCGAGACGAATCCAATGGTGAGGTCCATTTCGTCATCCGAGTTCTAGAATAAATTAAGTTTTCAACCCATACTGAAATAGCAAATTACGTTTTGCCCTTTTTTTGTAAAAGTTCAAATTACCCGGGGTTTACACTTACCTTGGAAGATGAGGGGAGATAGAAGCTAGGTGATTCGACCTGTTTCGTGACCTTCTTTATATCATACACCCAAGTATAAGTGGTTGAATTGTAGTTTTCTCGGTTTAAGTCCAAGATCGATCCCACGAAGAGTTTTAATAATTGGAATTTAAAATAAGAATAGTGAAGTTATTGTTAAAGCAGTGTAACATGAGATAGCTTGTGAGGTGAGTTTAGATTGATAACTAGACTAAGTAAATGAAATGCGTAGGTAAACTGGTGAATGTTAGTAATATAAAAAGGTACCCTTCAGTTCAAG